GAAATAATTAAACTTCTGATAAAAACTCCACCAGCAAATATTAGACTGCTCACAATCTACACCGCTTTTTGTTTAGAACTGTCTGTGTGCTACTCCATCATTCTCTTTTACTATGTCTGCAAAAGCAGACACAAAAATTTATGTTTATGAGTAGCATCACCTTGCAAATTCCCTCCCTGCTGTGTGAACCACTCCCTCCTATTATCACTTTTCAGTGGCCCTCTATAAATAATAATTTACACACTTTTCTGGTCAGAGGGCATGTCAAAGCTGTGCTGGTGATGTCCCGCAAACCCTGCAGTGATGCTAGATAAATAATCGTGTGGCAGCTCACTGCATTTGCCACCACAATGTGAGATGCTGTGCACGACAACTGTGCGTACTGTAGCACACAGTACAATGCTACCTCTCAGAGTAACTGAGTTTTCATCACAAGGGTGTGAACATTAGCTGGGGAATCTCACATATTAATAGACATTAATGCCATGACACTGTGATATAGAGTAAAAGGTTCTTGTTATGTTGTAAAGCGGCATGGCGGTTAATAAATAACTTTTCAGATCAATTGAATTCTGTCCATTTTTTCCTCAATCTCTGCTTTACTAAAATATCATGTACATAAGACAACAACTTAAATATTTGTCATGTCTAATGTCCTCAACTCTTTCTGTCCTGTGCAATTTACCATCAAAACTCAAAACAGGTATTTTTGACTGACATAAAAAAGATCACTTTACCTCTTTTTATTATGATGCTGTGCCTGTTATATTAACTGCCACAAGAATATTTTACTTACATGATTCATTCTGTAGGGGAACTCCTTTGGAAAGGCAAAGGAAAATCTTGTTTTCACTGTTTGAGAAAAATAAAACAGCATTATACAACCTACACTGCAGGAGAAAAAACATTTTTAAAAAAACACATTTATTTTTAAATTAAAAGAATATGTTGCTGAACACAGTCACTTACACACAGATGTTGCTGCAGAGATCAGCCTGGTGTTGGATACAACTCCAAATTCCTAAAAGGACAAAAATGATTAAGATCAGATCAGTTAATAAGTGGGAACCTTAAAGACAGTAAGGAACTTCGAGGCTTCGTGGCAGCACAGAAACACTCATACCTCAACTTTAGAAGCCAGGAAAACACAGGTAGGAGCCATGAGAACTGGATCTATACTTTTCAGAGAATACCTACATAGAAGAAGACAAAGAAAATTATTTGTTTGAGTAGTAGGTATTAAAGTAAAAAAAAAATAATAATAATACAAACAACTATTTAAAAACCTGAACACAATAACAATACACTAAAACATTTTATATTGAAAGATAGATGTTTTTGAATGGAGTATATGGACACATTTCACTGCCAGTCCCACAGGAGTATAAAAATAAGATTTTTAGTCTATTTGGATGG